AGACTCCTCATTGTTTTTGCTTAAAGTAAGGGGCTCTCAGTCTTCCAGGAAGGACTTATGCTGGAGACTTCACTGTGCTGTGAAACTACTAGATACCAAAGATTCGTTACCTTCATTTCAGCCCATCATCACCCACTTTTCAAGACCCATGGAGACAAAAGGATCTCACTGTCATTTTACAGTTTGTCTAAAATGACCATTCCCAGGTTACATTTAAGATATACAAGGTCTGATTCTCCCCTTGTGTGCGTTGTTCTGTATTAGGAGTAATTCCATTTAAATCAACGAGCCCAATTCCCCTGCCTTGCAATCCAGGTAGCTACTTATACCTGTGCCAAATGAGTGTAAAATTCTACCACTGATGTGGGTGGAGAGTTCTGAGGTGGTAGCATTTACACAACACCTTTATACAGGTATAAATGATGACACAAGGTGCCAGGCAATGGGGAACCAAGCTAGCTGAGTTATGCTGCTGCAAACCTGTGTAAAATACACAGAGAATCAGTCCCAGAACTTTATCACCGCATATGTGAGCAAATTGCACAAGAAAAACAGAAGAGATTTGTACAGATTTGGAGTCTCCCTGTTTGTACAAGGTGTTTTGAAAACGAGTCAGCAGAAAGATGAGCAGGAATTTAATGCTTTGCCTCACACAAAGGCACTTTTGCTGGCCCATGACCAGGTTGCAGAGCATGGAATGCAGCCAAAGCAAGTTATGGAGGAAAGAGTTTATGAGAATGTTGGAGCAGAGATAGTTAAAATAATCTGTGTTGAAAAGACTTGAGGTATTCCACTGGCTGCTCTACACCAGTGAAGAAGACACTATTACAACTGGTTGGATAGTGAAAAAAGTTGTTGGCAAATAATTGTTTGATTGAAAAAAGGATACAACTTGCAATGAATATACACAATAAATTATTCAAAGAGCTCTAATCATGATCATCATTAGAGGAATAGTGAAAGGAGGCAATGCTTAGAAGACTAAGATGTTTTATGAATGGGATGATCTGGAGATTAATGACAGAAACATTGGTGGGAAGGGTGTTAATGTGAGTTTTGACTGGCTGGCTGGCATACATGGAACACTGATATTTGAAATGTCGAGCTATGGTACTGACCTGGCCCCAGTCACCAGGAGATCTGAGCACCTCACAATCTTTAACATATTTTTCCCGTGAGGCAGGGCTGTGCTATTATCCCTATTGCACAGATGGGGAACTGGGAGACAAAGGCCTAGATCCACAAAGCTACTTAGATGCCTAAACCCCAGACTTAGGTGCCTACATCTCAGGTTTAGGTGTTCAAATTCCAGTTTTGGCTCCACTGCCATCCACAAAACTCCTACAGAACCTGTAGGCGCCTAAACTCATTCAACACCTAACTTTTCAATAGTTCCCTAGATGCCTATGTTTCTGCCTTCCTCTTGGCGTCCGGACGCCTATCTCCCAGCCTGAACTCCAGGATGATTTACAAACCAGGGGAAGATAGGTGTTCAGCCACCTAACTCATGTGCTGGGCCCGATCCCAAAGGCATGCACAGAGGCTGCCTACTGGATCTAGTCCCATTCAAAATATGGCTGCACAGGAAGGTAGTAGCCACCTAATAAACTTTTCGCTCTGTGGTTAAAGCACTCGCCTGGGATGTGGGAGACCCAGGTTCAATTCTCCCCTCTTCCACAGGGAGAAAAGGGATTTGGAGTGGGATCTGGCACCTCTTCAGAGGATGCTCTAACCACTGAGCTTGGTGATACTTTAATGTGAGGTGCCCTCAGTCACTCCAGCTGAAGCTGTTCCACTCTGGATAAAGAAATGTAAGAGTGACTGAAGCAGGGGGTTAGACCCTGGGTCTCCCACCTCCTAACTGGGTACCTAACTCCTGGGCTTCAGAGTCATTCTCACTCTCTGACCCAGAGACTATTTATGTATTTATCCACAGCAGAACAGCTTCAACAGGAGAGAGTATCCCAGAGCCCAGTGGTTAGAGCACTCCTGAGAGGTGGGACCTGTTCAAACCCTTTCTCCCGCTCTGGCAGAGAGGGGAATTGAACCGGGTCCAGAGGCAGATTAAGGTCTCCTGGGACCCTGGGCCAGAGCAAGTGTGGGGGCCGTGGTGCCGGAACCATGGCCCTGCTCCACCTCTTTCACCTGGGGGCCTGCCATCGTTCTGCCCCTTCCCTGCAGCCCCACCCCTATTCCACCCGCAGCCCCATCCCATTCTGTCATTCTGGCCCCCCACTGCAGCCCCACCCGTTGGCTCCTTTCTGCCACCCCCCACTGAGGCCCCAAGACCGGAAAAGCTCTTTCCCCCTGTCAT